GGATTAGGCCCGTGCAGCAATGGAAATGCTCTTGGTGACATTGATTTCACTGCCAGGTGCACCAGCTTGACCTCCCTCAAAAAATTCTCTATGGAGATCAGTCCTCACCTTGCCGCATCCCTCTGCTGCCATCTCACCTCATCAGCATGTTGAGGCCTTCTTGCTGATGCCGTCCCGTGAATGGTAGGTTTTAGCCAGCAACCCTTAAGGTCATGTAAGTCAACTGGGCCCCCTTACACTGTCTATCAACCATGGGGGCAATACTTGCACCCTCAACAGCAGTAGGTGGCCACCCAGTCCAGGTGGCAGGAGGCAGCTAGCTATTTCTAGCAATCTAATAGGAGGGTGAAGGCAGACAAAAAAGCGACATTGACTAGTCTGACTGACTAGTCCCTTATCCCCATCTGGTTGGATGGATGGCTCTCTGCCTGTCTTCTTGCATGGGAAGCCATAACTTCAGCTAGATGGATCCTCTTTATAGTGTAGAGAGGATATCAAATTGAACTTGACACTCTGTTGCCTCTTGGATTCAAATGGATTATGCCACTGCCTCCATTCCTAGCAGAAGAGGTATTTTTGCTGCTATCAAAAGGGGCTACCTAGCCTGATCTTCCATATGATCCTCAAGATGGGTTCTGTTCCAGGTATTTTACCACAACAAAGAAGGATGGTGGTCTCTACCTGATTCTAGATCTTGGAGATGTCAGCTTCATTACCCTGAAGAAGTTTTGCATGGTTTCCATGGAGAACATCTTACCACTGCTACATCAAGGTTGCCCAGCAGAGGGCAACAAAAATGATCCAGGGTTTGGGAACACTGCCCTATGAGGAGAGACTGAGGGAACTGGGCATGTTCAGCCTTGAGAAGACTGAGGGGGGACATGATGTTTGTTTGTTTGGGTATTTCTAACCTGTCCAATCACTATATGTATCTGGACAGCTTACAACAATCATTCAATAAATGCAATGTAATAATTCAATAAATACAACATAGCTATCCCTCTATAAGTACCTCAGAGGCTGTCACAAAGAGGAAGGTCAAGATATCTTCTTACTGATGCCAGAGTGTAGGACATGAAATAGTCAATTCAAATTGCAACAACCCAGATTCAGACTGGACATCAGGAAAAGCTTCCTCACTGCCAGATCAATACAACAGTGAATCAGCTGCCTAGAGAGGTGGTGGGCTCTCCCACACTAGAGACATTCAAAAAGAAACTGGACAGCCATCTGAGCGGGATGGTGTAATGCGGTGTCCCACAACAGCAGGGGGTTGGACTCGATGGCCTTCCAACTCCGCTATTCTGTGTTTCTATGATTCTATGATGCAGCATGGCTCTTCTTATATAAGATCAGGTCTTGCTGCTGACATTTCCCCATTTAGACTTGTATTTCTGTTTTGCCTCTTCTGCATGGAAAAGGGCCGCTTTTCTTTTTATTATTGTGGAGAGATTCTAGAGCTTGTGCCAACCTAAGTCTAGGCAAAACTTATGATTGAAGTATTCCATGATGTCCATGTTTGCAAGTTATTTTGCTGTTTGCTAAAGCCCTTAATGGGTTGATTCTGAGTTTCCATGATTGGTTGAGGCTATTTGTTTGGTGTGCCTTTGAGATGAGGAGGGAGACATTCCTTTCTTCCCTTCTCAACCATGACCAGCTTTGACTGGTACTCTGGGCAAAGCAAAACAAGGGTTGAAAGGTTGGAGCTGCATGGGCAACCTGCTGGTAGAACTTTTCTCCTTCAATTTACTTCATCACCCTTCCCCAGGCTACTGAAAGAGATAGCCAGAGGTATTAGATCCAGTGAGGGAGAGGGAGGGGAAGAAGCTTGAACAAGGAAGTTGGTGAAACACCTTCCTGCTTGGTTTCTCAGAAAATGGAGTTCAGGCTTCCAAACAGAAACATACAAACAGAGCGAGTCAGAAGGGCTCTCCTGGGCCATCTAGTCTGACCCCCGGCTCCAGCTGGCTCCACTCACGACATGTCCACCATGTGAATGTCTAGCCTATCTTTGAACAGCCTAACCGATGGGGCTTCAACCACCTCTTGTGGAAGCCCATTCCATACCCACGGGGTCCTAAATGTCAGGAAGTACTTCCTGGCATCCAGATTGAACCTTGGTTCCCTGAACTTTGCTCCATTGGAGTGCATCCTGCCCTTCTCTGCAGGGGAGAACAGGTCTCTACCCACTTCTGTGTGACACCCCCTCACATATCTGTATGCTGCCAACAGATCCCCTCTGAATTGCCTCTTCTCCAGGCTGAAAAGACCCAGTTCCCTCAGTCATGCCTCATACGGCTTTCCCTGCAAACTGGCCACCAACCTTGTGACCCTACATAGCCATATCTCTCCTGGAATGTGGGATCCAGAACGGAACACAACACTCCAGTTGCTGGCACACCAGAGTCATATAGAGTGGTAGTAATACCTCTCTCCATCTAGAAGCCACGCTTGTGGCTATGAAACTAAGGGTGGCGTTCGCCCTCTTGACTGCCACCGGACCCTGCTGACTCATGTTTAGCCTGCAGTCAACTAGCACCCCAAGAACCCTTTCACAAGTGCTGCTCTCCAGCCACTTTTCCCCTAACCTGTACTTATGACACCCATTCCTATGCCCCAAGTGCAAGACCTTGCACATACCCACATTGAATGCCATCCCATTGTCTCCTGCCCACTTCCATAGTCTGTCCAGATCATTTTGGATATGAAGTACCTGCTCCTCAGTTGTGGCCACTGCCCCAGTTTTAGTATCATCTGCGAATCTGATCAGCAGACTGTTCACCCCTTCTTCCATGTCATCGATGAAAAGATTGAACAGGATTGGCCCCAGGACAGAGTCCTGGGGGAACCTGCTTATAACTGGCACCCATCCTGATGATTCCCTACTAATGGATACCCTCTGCTTTCGGTCAACCATGCCCTAATCCATCGGACAGTGCATTGGTCTATCTCAAAACTCCTCAGTTTCTCAAAACTAAGAGTATTACAGGGCACTTTGTCAAAGGCCTTGCTGAAATCCATGCAAACCACATCCACTGCTTCCCCACCATCTAGCCACCTCTAAACCTTGTCATAGAATTCCACGAGGTTTGTCTGGAAGCTTATTGCGGAAGCTGTGTTGTGTGGTTGCCAGCCTTCCCTATCTAGCATTACTAGATCTCTCACTATTATAAGCCTTTCCATTGTTTTTCCTACAATGGATGTAAAACTAACTGGTCTGTAATTCCCTATGTCCCTTCTACTACCCTTTTTGGAAATTGGGAACACTGACACTACCCTCCAATCCTCTGGAACTTCACCCATTCTCCACGAGGCCTCAAAAATGGAGGCCAGCAGCCATGAGAGAACCCCTGCCAACTCTTGAAATACTCTCAGGTGTAACCAGTCAGGGCCAGGTGCCTATGTAACATCCAGTGCCTTGAGCCCCTCAACTTCTGGGGGGGGTGACTCTAATCTGTGCCCCTAAGTCCCTAGCCTCATCTAATCTCCCATGCGGATCTCCCCCGCCCTGCTTTGGGGAGAACACAGAAGCAAAATAGTCATTTAGCATCTGTGCCTGTTCTGTCACATCAGTCACTGGATCCACTTCCTCCTTATTTAGTGGTCCCACTACCTGTCTTCCCCTTCCTATTTACATGCTGATAGAAGCCCTTTTGTTTCTCTTGATATGCTTTCCAAGTTTCAGCTCGTAATCAACCTTAGCCTTGCAAAAAATCCTTCTCCGGTGGGCCTCCTCCTCCTGGTATACCCTTTTGTCTATTTGCCCCAGTACTCATTTGCTACAGAGGTTCCTCTTGTATCTAATCCCTCTAACCACCTCCTTTTGCATCCATGGCGGCTTTCTCCACCTCCCTACCTTACTAACTAGAGGTATCATCAAGGTTTGCGCCTCCAAATCCTCCCTTTTGAGTGCCATCCACCCCTCCTCAACTCCCTTGCCTTCCAGTAACTTATCCCAGGAGACTTTCCCCAGTCTAGCCTTCAATTGCCAAAGTCCCAGCTTCTAGTGCTCGACCTGCTGCACGTCCCCATTCCCCTGATCTCAAAGCAAAGGATGGAGTGATCACTTGCATCCAGAGCTCCCCTAATCTGTACCTCATCTATCAGCTGCTCCCTGTTGGTCAAAACCAAGTCTAGGATGTATCCCCCCCCCCCCCCCCGTTGCCTCTCAGACCCTCTTCGTGAAAAACCCTCCCTCTATAATGTCTAGGAAGCGACGTGCCCTTGCTGTCGTGATGGTCTGTGCCACACAGTAGCAGAGGCAGTGTGCAGAAGAGCACTAGCTGCTGGGGAACCTGGGTAGGAGAGTATTGTTGTCCTCATGTCCTGATTGCTGGGGTAGATGGACCTGTGGTGTGATCCAGCAGGGCACTTCCACTTTCCTTACAACCTCCCAAAATCTGCAGCCAGCCCTCCTGCATGTGATGGTTTTTACACTGGTCTTCTCTCATTCTTTTCCAAAAAGTCTTGGTTCGCTTAGCTGATTGCTAATGTTCTGTGGGATAATCTGAGACTAGCCGTGACTTGGTGTCCATTTGCTGCTGATAGCCATGAGGTCGTCTTTCATGTTGAACTTTAGCACTGGTAAAGTTTGTAGCCCTTGACATGTTGCAGTGTCTGTGATCCTCAGGCAACACAAGTTGGACACTTTACAGTTCTGACCCAATTGGAAGTGGTTTAGAAGAGTCAATTGCAGTCTTCTACAACCTAGTACCTTCCAGACATGTTGGACCACAACTCTCAGAATTCCCAGCCAGCATGGCCAGAGCTAGCTGGGGATTGTGGAAGTTACAGACCGACACATCTGGAGGATACCAGGCCATGGAAGACTGGTCTACTGGCCTAGTGTCCATAATCCTTTACTGAAGGATGGGAAGGAATTATATAAGCCGCCTTCTAGTCCCCTACAGTATTTCAGGTTTCTTGCATCATCTGGACCTATCTGTTGATAGAAATAAACACTGGACTGGATGTTCTTATAATTCTTTCTCTGTTTTTAGGAACAAACCTTTCTTGTTCTATTTCAACATCATGAAATGTGCCAGCCCTTTGGTATTGCTGGAATTCCAGTGTCCTACCACACAGGTAAGAATTTTCCTTGGGCACAGTCCTTGGCCTTCTCTCCACATAGGTCAGAGTTTCAAGAGCTTTATACCAGTTTGTTATTCATGAAGTTAACACTAGAGATGTATGGATTTTGTTAAATGCACTCTAGCTGTTTTGCAAATTGTCCAGCATCTTTTGTTCTGTTATCTGCTCACAGATGGAATCAGATTTTTGTTAGGGATGTACATTTATCATCCCCCTGAAAAATAAAAGTAATAAGTTGACCTGTGACTCTGCATGACTTGGAAAAAGCTGGTTTGCTGCAGAATCCACAAGTCGAATTCATAGAAATCCAAACTCATTTAAATCCACTGCAGTTTATCTGACATCCCTAGTTAATACATCTGAAGAAGATGGAATATTGCTCTCTTTCACTGAGTCCTCAAAACAGATAAGCCATTATGTAATGTCCAATCCCTAAAGTACCGGAAGGAAGGGCAGTAAGTATCAGGTTGTGTAGTGCCCTCTCTTGGTCATATCTGGGAAATACTGAAGGAAGAATGCAGTCCCAAGAATTTCAAAGATCTGATGCCAAATCAGGGCAAGCAGCCTTGGAAGCGCTACTCTGATTAAAATATGGGGTCTGCTTTGAAGTATTTGATCCTAGTTGCTGATATCTGCTGTCTCCCTATGACTGCATTTTTTTTTTCACTAAGATGGAGCTGGTGTACTCATGGCCATTTCCATTAGGGGGCATTTGTATCACAAGGATATGAAGCTGTGATATGTATGCTATTTTTTGTTTTCTAAAAAGCATTCTTTAAATTTTACTACAGCAGAACCCATGCATTGCTACCAAACTCTCAAACCAAATATAACTTGGGCCTACATATCCCCTACCATCTCAGATGAATTCCTATGTGGAAAAACAGAAACTATATAAAAGGTGTATTCCAGTGATCAAAACTCAACTTAGAGTATTTACCTCACTCCATTGTCTTTAGCTGCTCTCTCAGCCAACACCCCAGGTATTTCACTCAGGAGCAAGAAAAAAGTCTGAGAATATCTCAGCTTTTTCTCGGGTGAGACATATGCCAATTTAAACCATTTACATCAGTTCTGAAGCAATTTTTCTATTTTATTAAAAGGATTATGCTATGGGGAAAAATGGAAATGCTGAAAGGTATTAGGAGAGCTCTGGTATCCTGACACCTGCCATGAAGGAAAAAGAATCAGGGTCTGTTATGAAACCCAGGATGACTGATTATCTTTGGGCTGTTGTTGTATAGTATGATCTTGAGAGCTGGATGGTTTTGCAGTGTATCATCAGTATCATGTGTGAAGGAGACCTAGATGAAAGACATACAAGGGAATGTAGGAATGGGGCCATTACATTACCTGGTTCACATGTAATGCCAATCTATGGTTTATTCAGAGTGCACCCAGGGTTTTTCTAGTAGATAATAAGAGCATAGCTTGTTTTCTAAGTCCTGAGTTGTTTGTCCTTTCCCATCCAACCCCTTATTTCCCAATTTTCTTTGCACCACTGCAATACTGGCATGTAAAGAAACTTTGTTTTTGACTATTCTTGCCTGCTGCCTTTTTAGTCTGCTGAAACAACCCATGAGGATCCCATGATCCTGAATTTGCACATAAGAACCCATGGTATAAATCAGTGGTTTTCAACCACCTGTCTGTGGACTGGTGTCAGTCCTCAGGAGATTTCCTGCTGGTCTGTTGTGGGGGGAGGGATGCATCCAGCTTGCCATGGACCAATGCAGGGGCGGGCTGGCTGTCCTCCACCACCTCTTCCTCAGTTGGCATTGCGTTCATGGGGGGGGGGGGTGCTGGTGCCATCAGAGTGGGGGCAGAGATGGAAGAGATGGCTCGGTGGGAGCTGGCTGGGAGCCACACAGAATTGATTTCAGTATTTTGTTCTTTTGTTGGCACTTTTTGTTACTCGGTTTCTGGTTATTTTGGAGAATTTTCATTTTTTTGGTATTGTGTTTGGAAACTAATACACAGAATACTGTATTGTGTATGGTGCTTTTTGTTTCTGCCTCGGTCGTTCCCGAGGTGGTTTTCCTATTTTTACTGGTCCCCAGCTGTGGAAAGGTTGAGAACCACTGGTTTAAATAGCCCACAATTCACAATGCAGTGACAAACCATGAGTTCTCTTTCAAAGCTGTGTGTGGTTAAGAGCCTATAGTTAGCCCAAGATTCACAATAAACACAAACAGCAAACAGGTTGTCATTAAATGCAAAGCAGTTTAAACTGTTGCTAACAACAACAACAACAAGGACTGGGTGAACATGCCTACCAAATGCCATAAGATTCCTCCTTGTTTGTGCTGAGACTCTGCATTTTTGTGCTTCTTGGGACTCTTTCAGATCTGTGTAAGCAACTGCCCAGATCGGTACCTCACTTACCTCCAGGCCTCTACCACTGATCTCTCAGCCACCAAGGAACTCAAATACTATCAGCAGTTTTGTGTCCCAGAATTTACCAATCTGAGGAAGGTAAGTGGCACTGTGAATGAGTGGTGGCTGGAAACTAGTCCAGATGTAAAATTTAACTCTTGTTCTGCATTTGTTTTTGTTCTTCCTGGGAGGGCATGTGGAGAACGTCTTCCTTTGGGTAGCAGTTAACCATTGTCTGCTTCTTTCTTTCTCTTACTGCTTCAGAGTGCACCTGAAGTTTTGAAAGATGGTGACTGCCCAGCCATGCTTACTCCGAGCAAGCCCTGTAAGTTTGTCTGAGGAAAGCAAGCTGCTGGGGGAAGACCAATTCTTATTTTTAGAGCAACTAAGCAGTCTTAATGCCATACAGGCAACTGCTGTGACTGCTAGCCACTTCTGCAGTCAGGAAGAATCTGGGACCTTTCACACACAGCCCACACACTGAGAGTCACCACTGTAGGCTTGGTTGGCATTTTAGTTCACAGTGGATCTCTAGTGAAAGTGCACATATTGGATATTGTGTACTCATTATATGCAAGCTGGAACATCCAGAGGCTAAGCTCATTCCCTGCATGCCATTTCAGAAGCTTTGGCATTCTAAATGCAAGGGCTGTGTGCATGATCATTCTTCCCATCCTCCTCTCAAGGTAAGGTGGTGGGGTGGCAGAGTAACATGGTGATGTGGCAGCCACAGTTGTGGACAGGGGACTTGGACCAATTTCCCTGTTTGGCTTTGCCCCTGACATGCTGCCAGAGGATTTGAAATTTAAAGTTGGCAACTCTATAAGATCCCATACCAGACCTGAAGGGGCAGGTTTGGTGTCAGTTCTAAACAAAATCATAGAATAGTACAGTGGGAAGACCATCGAGTTGAACCCCCTGCTCAGTGCAGGACCCCAACTCTTTGACAAATGTCTGGCCAACTGCATCTTGAATACTGCCAGTATGGGAGAGCCTATGGCCTCTATAGGTAATTGGTTCCACTGCTGTACTTCTCTAATAGCCAAGAAGTTTTCCTGGATGTCCAACTGGAATCTAGTTACCTGTTACTTGAGCCCATTATTCCATGTCTTGCATTCTGGCATTATTGAGAAGAGCTCCTGATCTTCCTCTGTGTGACTGCCCCTCCAATGCCTGGCTAAATATGCCCAGTTCCTTCAATCTCTTCCCAGGGCTTTGTTTCGAGACCCCTAATCACCTCTCAAGCACCTCAAGCTTATCTACATCCTTCCCTAAGTGTAGTGCCCAGAACTGGACACAATACTCGAGATGGGGTCGATGAGAGGGGAACCAGTACTTCATGTATTTTTGAAACCATGTTTCTGTGAACGCAGCCCAAGATAGCATTTGCTTCTTTGCAGCCATATCATGTCGTTTCCTTAGTTTTGCTTATGATCTGCAACAGTTCCAAGATCCATCTTGCTTGCTGAGCCAGGCGTTCCACATCTTGTAACTGTGCATTTTCCTAGGTGTAGGAAACTGTTCCCTTTTCCTAGGTGTAGAGCTTGATATTTGTCTCTGTTGAATTTCATTCTGTTGCTTTCAGTTCAGCACTCCATCCTATCAAGATTACTTTGAATTTTGTTTCTGTCTTCCAGTGTATAGCAAAGAGTAAACACTCTAGTCAAATGTATGGTTAATCCACAAAGATCAGGTTAATTACTGGTAGGCTGAATTTCTAATGTATATTTAATAATTTTATCAGGTATTTGAAGTAACTTAGAGACTTCCCATAACATTGTACACTGAATGGCAGCTCCAGTTCTTGTATATTGAGTTGGGTGCAGCACACTTTCTGTAAGCCAAGAAGTTTTGGTAGATCACTGTTTATCCAGCCCTGGCCCTCACACCTAGATGGATAAGTCAGTGAATATTATCAAAGACTTACCAACCTAGCTTATGCTAATAAGCCATGAGGCTCTTTGAGCCCTAAATTTGCAACATACATAGCTAGCAGAACCTTCTTGTGAATAACATTGTAATTTAGTAGATGCTTTATTTGCCACTGACGTTCACAATTGGTGTTACAAGTGGAATAGGTGGTACAATCTGACTGACTACTTTTCCTCCTCCCCATGACATGCTTGTTCTAGCTCTTCCAGGAAATGATCTTGCCACCTAACTGGCTTGCTACTCTCATTCAGCCCCCAGTACATAGCACTAACAGATCAACTGAGTCTTGGGGCACGGTTAAGCACAGAAGCTATTGCACTCTAGGTATACCTGGACATAGGTGAGGAAAAGGTGTGGACTTTCATTCAACCCAAATAATTACTTGGGCTCACAGCCCAACAACGAACTATAGATTCCCTTGCTAGGCTGTTTGCAGTTAACAACCCATAGTTAATCCATACTGCAGGGTTCACATATAACCTAGGATTCAACAGCAATTCATGATTCACTGGCCCCCTTACTCAACCACTGGTTATCATTAAATGTGAACCATATCAGCATGTGGTTGTTCTTTGTCATGGTCTCTGTGCCTCACACATAAGGGCTTTTGCGCCTGCACAGAGCCATTGCTGGGAAGCTTCTATACTTAAGCATTCATTTTGGGCAGAAGCCTCTCTTTTTCCTGTTCCTAGGAAGCATGGGGAGAGGCTCTTGCCCATTTATTCAGTTCCTTTTCGGCTGCCTAGATCACACCTCAATCAAGAATGAAAGAATGTATGCGCACATTGCCAGGTCTCCACAGAATAACCCAGGAAACACTGGGCTGATTGGCTTAAGGGCGAGTTATGAAAGAAGGCCCCGCAGGGCAGAGGCCTCCGAGGGTGACCACAAAGCATGGAAAATGAGTATGTGGAAAAGATGGCCACTGCCCCCACAGTGAAGCTAGGTGCTGCGTGAGCCCTTGTCAACAGCAATGCTGACCTTCAGGCCCCTGGCACCCACTGACTATGCCTGCTCACCAGAACTGAGAAATGCCACCATTGCCACACTGGTAGGTGAATTGGGAGCCTGGCCCACCATGCTGACCAACTGTCATTCCCCGTAAAACTCTACTCTGAGAGGATTGCTGTCCAAAGAACGAACTCCTGTACCTGACTTGCCATGAAGATGCTCCCCAGGCACCCCTTCAAGGCCAAGGATGCTGCCCTTGGAAAGCAACTCGACACTGGAAACTTCAGGGACTCCACAATGTCAAACCCAGAGGCCAGGAGACACCAGAATCACTCCTGCTCTCCCTGTAGTGATTGGGACCATGGTTTGGACTGATCCCCAGCATCTTTCCACTCTAAGACCAGGCCCTATGACTCCGCCAAGGACAGCTACAAGCCTGAATACCAAGCTAATCGCTGCCAACACCAGGGCCTCACACACCGTCCTCATTCCCTGGCTCTGGAGAGACATGAGGGCAGGCTGTCCACCAGTTGCTGTTCTTCCATGTCCAGCTGAAGAGACAACCCGACTACCAGTTGATCCATGAGGCCAGGCCTCAATATTGAGCTGAGGCCAGGCCTTGGTACCAAGTGGTACTTCAGTATCAGATGAGCACTGCTCCTTGATACCAGATTAACATTGCTTCCCAACAACTCAGTGCAGGCATCTGCAAACACCTTCGGTCCGGACCACATCTTGGATTTGGAGTCAATGATCTTGTGTCCATCGAAGCCATCCCCCGATGCCGTGGAGTTTCACCAGAACACAGCATCCTTTTCAGAGGAGAGGGACCACTTTCCAGAGCAGGTGCTTAGGATGGCCACCAACCTGGGATTAGAAACTGAGCAACAGATGGACCAGGTCACTGACCCAGTCTTCAATGCCCTGGGCTAAGTGGGCTTGACACCAGTGGCCATCTTCTTCCTTCCTGCCCTGCTACAGACTGTTAAGCAGTCCTGGAAGTCCCCTGTTGCCTCCCTCAGAGCTTCAAGGAAGGTTGAGTCCACATACTGGGTGCTGGAAAGGGACATCTCTTTTCTCCTCCAACACCTGAGGCTCAATTCTGTTATTGTGTAATCAGTACAGGGGACATTACAGTGACAACACACTAATCCTGTTGACTGAGAGGGGCACTGCTTGGATGGTCTGTGTGGTCAACATGTCCAGAGCCTGATGTTCTACGTGAACAAGCAGGGAGGCATATGGTCCATTCTGCTTACCAGGCTAGCCATAGACATATGCAACTGGTGCATCTCCAGGGACATCCAGATCACAGGGCAAGAACATCTTGGCAGATGTTTTCAGTTGTGCAACCCTCATTTCACATGAGAGGAAGCTGAACAAGAGGGTCCTCTATGACCTTCATTACTGATGGGGACACTGTCACTGGACCTCTTTACCATTACCCACAATAGGACGTCCCCCAGTTCTGCTCCAGGGTGCGACAGGCAACTGGCTCCCTGGGGAACAACTTCCTCTTCCAATGGAGTGGGACCTTGTTCCACATCTTCCCCCCTTCCCCCTAATCACCAGGATAATTGCGAAGATTAGGAGGAACAGAATGGACGGTGTCCTCATCACATGAGACAACCATGGTTTACCCAGCTCCTACAACTCTCCCAGGTGGACTTCATGCACCTGCCATGCAGACACTACTTCATATTGCAGGACCAAGGCGGAGTCTTCCACCCAAAGATTGGGACCCTGTGCTTCACGGCCTGGAGAATCACCCCCTAGAGCGAGGAGGAGTACCACTTCCACCCAAGGTGTCAGCCATACTAGACACACCCATGAAACTCTTACTTGGAGGTCTTACTTGGCAAAGTGGAAAGCCATCACTATCTTCACATGGCAAGAAAGTTTCAACCCAAGGTGGGCTTCCATCAAACAAATCCTGCTTTTCCTGCAAACCTTCCTCACCCCTTTGTTGATCCATGTATGCCTGGTGGCCCTCTCCTTTTTTCACCCAGTGTTTGAGAGGCCATCAGTCTTCATGCATCTCCGGGCATACAGTTTCCTGGAGAGACTAAAAAACCTTGCCCTGCCCACCCAGCTGTGCACACTCTCTCCAAAAGACCATTTGAATCCCTGGTCTCATTGGACTTGCTACTTCTGTCACGGAAGGTGGTCTCCCTAGTGGCCATTACATTTGCCTATCGTGCCAGCAAGCTCAGCACCCCCTAAGTGGACCCACCCTACCTGACCTTCCATAGGGACAAGGCTGTTCTCTGGCTGGACCCAGCCTTCCTACCTAAAGTCATCTCACTGTTCCACCTCTTAGCCAAGACATTTTCCTCCCTGCCTTTTTAATAGATCCATCTACTTCATTAGAATCTACCCCACATCTGCTCAATGTCTGGAGGGCCCACGCCTTCTACAAATCTGGGGCAGAGCCTTTCTGCTGCTGGCCCCAGCTGTTCCTTTGTCCAAGTGGGTCTCCAGTGCCATCTTCCTTGCACATGAGATGGCTCACCATCGCAACTCACCATGTGACCCAGGGCCCCCTCCATATGAGCCACATCCATGGCCATCCTTGCCTGGATCCCCTTGCAGGATGTCTGCAGAGCTGCCACGTGGTCTATACACTTGACATTTGTCTGACATTGCCAACCAGATGCCTGTGCAAGGGCAGACTGCTCTCTCAGCAGGGCAGTCCTCTCTATCCTGCAGTGGTGACAGCACCCTCTGTCTTTCATATAGTAAGCTAGCTAATTGCCCATAGGTATGATACACAGAGACCAGAAGGAAGAAAGGCAGGTTGCTTACCTGTAACTGTTGTTCTTCAAGTGTTCATCTGTGCATTCACACAACCAACCCTCCAGCCCCAGCTACTGTCATCCTTCCAATAGGTTCTCCCGCACACTGCACAGATGCATGTGGCTGGACTGGGCTGGGACCTCTTCCTCCTTTCCCACAGTCCAGAGATCTATGTTGATCTCCTTAGGCACTGAGGGAATGGTTGGGAGCCCCCTCCGTGTTTTTCAGGAACAGGAAAGGGAGGAGCTTCCGCCCAGAATGAACACTTAGCTATATAAGCTTCCTGAAAATAGCCTCCGTGCAGGCCCGAGAGCTCATATGCACAGATGACCACTCAGAGAATTACAGTTACAGGTAAGCACCCTGCCTTCATGTGAGAACTTGGTTAGAGGAATTTTAATGCTTTTCTTCCCTGTGATATCACAGGATGGACCTTTCCTATCAGCCTCCTAAGCGGAGAAAGAGGGAGAGAAGGGGCTGTTGGTCTTCCCTGCTGCTTAGTTCTCTCTTATTTGTTGTGACCCTCAGTGGCTCGCAGATGTTTGCCTGCAATCAACACTAAGAAAGGGATAATCATGGTTGGAAATGAGACAACCTTTGATGATGGAAGAGGAAAGAAAAGGAATGTGACAGATCTTGTGGAAGGGGCCAAGTGAGTCCGGTGTGTGTGTTCAAGGGGGAAGTGGGGCTTAGTCTGTATAAGCTGATTACACTTTTCTGTTGCTTGGTTTATGTGGTTTGTCACTCAGGGCTCGTGCAGGTTTGTCTGTTCTGTTGTTTTTGTCACAGAATGGCAGAAACTAGAACATTAGGTAAGCAAGTGTTGTGGCCAAGACAAGAGGATAGGGTTCTGGCTTATAGAGGAAGGACTGGGGCTTGTCACTGCTAATCATTTAGGGAAACTTGTCTCTACTCTCATAGTCCTTTATGTGTAACCAAGAGAGCTTTTCTTTTCCCAGAAGGAAAGATCCAGTTCTTCTGTTAGTAGTTTTGCTATATTCCATGTTCTAGTCACATGGATTTCCAGATTCCCTTACTGGATTTCTGCAAACACTGTAATGCAGTATGGAAATTATTCCTGACTCTTGATCTATTGTGCTTTGAATGTGCTATATATCTGGGGGCTTTTCCTGTTTGCAAACCATGTCTTTTCTCAACCTGAACTGGAATTCAGTGCTCAGTATTAAAGGCACCCTCAGTAGCCTGAACAAGCCACAATTAATGGAGCTCCTGCAATCCTGATAAGCAGTAAGACAGAGCAAGAGCTGGCCTATATATCTTAATTAGTCCATACATCTTCAGTGTCTATTCATTGTCATAAGGGCTAGAAACATGACCATTAAAACAATGAAAGTGTAATGCAGGGATTCTTGAGGCATCCAAATATATACCCATAGGGAATGGCAAACAGTAGGCATTGCTGGCAAGGTCAAGGCTATGTTGTAAGATAAAAAAGAGAACAAAAACAGCCTTCCCCAGGAAGGAATAAGACAAAATCATGATATTTGACTGAACCACTGCTGTTTGGTTCCATCCTAAGTCCAGGATTTAGACTAGCATAGAACAAGCTGAGAATTAGGTAAGCACTTCGTATTTGGAAATAAAGCTCTAGCTCAGAGCTAGGTGCATAGAGTACAACAATATCTTGAGGGGCAACTCACATTACTTCTGATAATTGGCTATGCTTGCTGTCATTGATGGTAGTTGGTGTCATCCAACAACTTCAAGAGGGCCACAGGTTCCCTAATTGTGCTCTAGATCATGTTAACAATGACAATTTAAAAGATGCTAGACTACATGGAACTGGGAATACTGGAGAGTGAGTGACATAGGCCAGCCAAACCCCTTCCCCAGTCATGCAGCACAGCAACAGAGAGTTTCCAAATGTTTACAGAGCCTCAGCCAAGTCAAACTGGGCTAGGGAAAGAAAAACTGCTTACTCCTATCCAGGGAGCCCCCACTGTGCTCTGAGCACCATTGTGTCACTTTGAAAAATCTCTTCTTCACCCCATCCTTTGCTTTTCACTTCTTACTGTTTTTAATTCCAGAAAGGCAAATGTGGTTCTGGAAGCAAGACAAGTGGCTATGAAGATCTTTGAAGATTACACTGCTTCCTGGTATTGGATAATCATGTGAGCAGAGAATTGAACAGCCGAGCTAACACATAGGATGGGATTAGAACTTTCCGATAGGCAGACCAAGGAAGAGTTAAGGAGTGAAACAGAACAAGGTGCTGTTCCTCCTGAGCACATGTATATGGAAAGTTCCAGTGTTTTACTCTACATGTGGGAATTCAAGAGCCTCATATGCCCGCTCCACTAAAAGAAGCAAAATGGCTGAGTAGGCCAGACTTAAATAAATTATGAAGATAATTTATTTAGTTGTTTAGCAAAAGTGTTATCAACCGAACTGGCAGAGTAGGAGCACAGCAAGCATCCGCATGTTGCAGCTGGCTTGGTTTGGACTTTTCACGTTCTGTGTCAAAGAACACACACTGACTGCATCAAGCATATTTATTTATTCATTTGTTTGTGTGTGTGTGTTTACTTTTACATTTCTAGGTTGTTGAATAGCCCACTATGGGCTCTCTAAGCAGCTAACATAAAAAAACACACATGCCAATAGTACAATTTTAAGTACAGGGGTAAGGGTGGGGGAAACCTGTTGGTAGCAGAGTGAGCTCCTACAATCAGGTCTTAAAATCAGATCTTGAAATACCTACAGAAGAAGTCATTTTTCACCTGGCACCAAAATGATGATGATGCCAGGCAGACCTCTTTAGGAAGCCTATTCCAAAGGTGGGGGGACAACCACTGAGAAGACCTTCTAATTGCCATCCCTTTTACTTCCTTTAGGGCAGAGGTCAGCAACCTTTTAACACTCAAAGAGCCATTTGGACCCGTTTCCCACACAAAAGAAAACACTGGGAGCTGCAAAACCCTTTTGACATCTAAAATGAAGATAACACTGCATATATCGTTTTTTACCTTAATGCTATGTATATCTTCATTACGATTTAGCTACAGCTCTTGTTCAGTCACTAAAAACTGTTATTTTTAATCTTACATTTTAATCTTACATTATAAACTGGTAGGACTCCTTTCATATATTTTGAATAGGAGAACAGCTTCCTGAAGAGTCAAAGTCAGTGCTAAAGGGCTGCATGCATTAAACAGCAAACCGCATAAGTTCATCAGCAGTAAAAGCCAATGAATCTACCCACATATCATTAAACATTTGGTTTTCTTCAGAAACCTTTCTTTGATTTATCCATGATTGGCCTACTGGGGGAAGTCGCAGATATATATAGGTGTGTTTAGTGACTGATTAGCAGATAAACAGTCAAGAGATGTGAATTGTGACAGGTCCCAAGCGCAGCTTTTATCATTCAGAGGAAGGAGATTACATTTGGACAAAGAGAATCTTTTCAGCAACCTTTCGTGTAACATGAGAGCCTGCAGGAAGCTTGTTCTACTCTTTCCCTGCAATGTCGCAATTTACTTAACCTGCTAGCGCAGGGTTCCTGAGTAGATGCCTCATCATCACCTATTGGTATTTTGTAACTTGGAGCTTCGGTCGCAGATCGGCAGCTGTGACGCATATTTTGGGCAACGGAGCTGCAGCAGAGGGATTCAAGAGCCACGTGCGGCTCCGGAGCTGCAGGTTGCCGACCTCTGCTTTAGGGATAGCTCTTTCAGAAGGACCTCATTCCAAGATCTCAATAAGTGGGCTAGGAGTATATGGGAAAAGGTGGTCCTTCAAGTAACCAGGTCTCAAGCTGTTTAGGGCTCTCTGTGTTAAAACAAGCACTTTAAATTGGGCACAGGCTTCAACTGGCGACCATTGTAATTTATGCAGAATAGGCGTTATGTGGGCATGCAAACTGATATATGACATCAAATGTGTAGCCCTGTTTTGAACCAGTTGAAGTCTTTGGCATCAAAGGCAGCCCTATGTGTAGGGCACAGTAATCCAGTCAGGATATTACCAGCACATGAGTAACTGTGGTCAGGCGCTGTCTATCCAGATAAGACTGTAATTGTCATATTGTCATATTCACTGTAGCTGGAAAAAGGCACTCCTGGCCACTGAATACACCTGAGACTCCAATGAAAGTTTTGGATCCAGGAGAACTCCCAAGTTGTGGACCCTGCCCTTCAGGGGAAATGTGACAAGAGAATGGCCATCTAATCTGCCAGACAAAGCATTAATCAACAATACTTCTGTCTTGCTTGGATTGAGTTTTAGTTTATTGGCCCTCAACCAGTACTGCTGATAGCCCAAACCACCTGATGACCTCTCTCAGCAGTTTCATATAAATATTGAACAGCCTGGAGGATAATATAGAGCCCTGCAGACCCCCATGGCGTAACCACCATGGGGCACAGCAGCTATCCCCCAGCACCACCTTCCAGACACAGCCGGTAGGAGTGGAACCACTGTAAAGCAGTGCTACCAACTTCCAACCCAGTCAACTTTCCAGAACAGGGGCCCTCAAACTTTTTCAATGGAGCCAGTTGAAAGGTGCCGGCTGTGGGCATGGGCTGGCAGGGCGGTGCCAGCAGGGGGCAAGGGCAGGGGGCATGCACATGGTGAGGCAAGGCGGTGGCAGGCACGCGTGGAGATGGTTTTCTCTGAGCGAGTCCAAAACGATCTCTGCGCGAGTAAGCCACTGCCTTGTGGGCGCAGTGAGTCCAAAACCTCTGAGGCAGAGGCCGGATAAATGGGCATGGCGGGCCGGATGTGGCCCGTGGGCCGTAGTTTGAGGACCCATGTTCCAGAAGAACACCATGATTGATGGTGTTGAAAGCCTCTGAGAGTTCTAAAAGAATCAACAGGGTCGCACTCCCCCTGTCCATCTCCTGCCAGAGGTCATTATACAGGGCAACCAAGGCGGTCTCCATCCTGAACCCTGGCCCGAAACCTGATTGAAATGGGTCCAGATAATCTGCTTCCTCCAAAAGTGCCTGGAGCTGTCTGGCCACCACTTGTTCCAATACCTTGTTCAAAAAGGGAAGATACACAGATATCAAAAAGATATGCGGATTCAAATTAAATTTGGAGTTGTGTAGTGGTTAAGAGCATGGGACTGGAACTCAGAGGATCTGGGTTCTAGTCCCCACTTGGCCATGAAGCCAACTGGGTGACTTTGGGCCAGTCACAGACTCTCAGCCCAACCTACCTCACAGGGTTGTTGTGGGGATAAGATGGAGGAGGAGAATGATGTAAGCTGCCTTGAGTCCTTTGAGGAAAAAGGCAGGATATAAATCGAAAAATAAAAATAAATAAAATGTTCTCATAGCTGGAACAGACTTGTTTTATTTCTACATCATAATTTTTGCTTGCTGATGCTACCGAATTTAAAATCTTTCGGTGACAGAAGGAGGTGAGATATAAATGAATGTATGCATCTTTAGGGGAGCATGACTGGAACCTAGGGGGAAAGGACTGATGACCTAGTCTATCATGAAACCTAAATAGCGCAGCTCAGGAATTCACTTCCAGCATCAGATGTCATGTTACGTGTTTGCCAGATACTTAGTATCATGATAATCCATTGTCACCTGCGCTGTTTTAGATCCAGGCCCTACTAGAAAAGAAGAGGAACACTCCACAACATGGACAGCATGGTGCATATGAAGAGAATATATAACACTGATTATGGTGCAAAGTGACAATTCCTTTTCCTTTAAGTATATATTTCTGGGGCAGCTCTCCACTGCTGCTCTCTTATGCATAGGATAAGGAACGTTGGATTATAGGAACATAGGGAGGTGGGTGAAGGCAATGGTCATGGTTGGTAATGCAAACGCTACTTCAGAACTCTCCTGTTGTCTTATGTCTGCAGAGGTCTGGTGATTGCCATGGTGGTCAGTCTCATCTTTATTGTCCTGCTTCGGTTTCTGGCAGGGATCATGGTCTGGGTAATGATTGTGCTGGTGATCCTAGTGCTTGGATATGGTAAGTCTGGTTGAAGAGGATGCTTGCTGTGAAGCTCTTTTATCTCATTGAGGGTCTAAGCAACCTGGTGTCTGCTAGATATTTTGGAGGACAACTGTCAACCCCAGCCAGTAAGGCTAATGATCAGGTATCATGAGAACTGTAGTCTAAAACATCTGGAAGACATGCAGGTTGTTTACCACTGGTCTAGCCCATCACTGTATTTCTCTCCCCACTGTTGCCTCGGTGCACACCCTTAGTGCTGGTCTCTTCTCCCCGTACTGCTTGTGGCAGGTGGCACAAGTGACCTTTGCTTGAGCTAATAATTCTTCTGGAAGTCCCTTGGTGCAGTTTGGTCTGTGGATACCATAAGTGGGGTGACTGCAGTGATTTTTTGGATCTTGTCTCTATTGCTTTAGGTGGTTTCCACAGACCCTACTGTGCAAATGTTTAATATCACTTCCTCTGTGAACTCAGGCAAGATGAGCAGGGATGTGGAGGGTGGCATAGCCTCCTCTCTTCTCTTGAGAAAGAGGTATGGATAGCTGCTTAGCTGAGCAACTCAATTGTTGTCAGAAAGATCTCTACAGAGACCCTCGTTTGCATGCACAAGATGACCTGCTCCTGTAGCTGGTGAATCAGTTCTGTGCCAGAATTGTTTTTGAACATTATTTTTGTTCATTTGCAAATGTGTCCTTGAGTAAATCTAGGATAGTGTGGAGAAAAAACCCAGCCTGCAACTTGGAATCCACAGGTTGGAAAAGAACAGTCTGCTATGAAATCCACAGGCTGAATTTATAGAATGCTGATCTAACTGGAATCCATCATGCATTTTTCTAGCATCTCTAATGGCAACTGAGACTGGTGACTTGAGACAAACACCTTATCAGTATGGGCATGGTTATTGCAAATAATAGCAACAACAACAACACACATACGCAACAACAACTCCTCAAAGCAGGAGTGATAGAATGTGGTAATCTACTACAACCCTGTCTAGTGTTGTGCTGTGTTTTCCATTTCTAAAGCATATCCCCCTCTCTGCCCAACAGCATCTTGCTGTTTACACTGAATATAACTCCCTTTCTCTCTTTCTGCTTCCCCTACTTTCAAGTGCCTTGCAGTCTCAGACTCAAACTGTACCGTTTGAAATCTCTACAAATTGTGAGCAGCTTCCTTGAAATGTTGCAACAAACCCGAACGCAAGAAGTTGGAGAAAGTCTAAGGGGCTGAGTTGGGTGCACTGTTAGTCCTTAAGCCTTTGATATGATCAGTGCTTCTAAATGTGTTTCCCATGCAGTTTCAACCCTCCAGTTTTGGAAGCATCTTTGGGGAAGCTTCCAGCCACTGAGTTTGTTGATGATATTAAGCCAAAACCGTTGTCAACAGTACTGTTCTTCGCCTTACAGGAATCTTCCATTGTTACATGGAATATGCCCACCTGAAAGGACAGGCTGGTTCTGATGTCTCATTGATGGAACTTGGGTTCCAGACTGATCTCCGTGTCTATCTGCATCTGAAGCAAACCTGGCTGGCCTTCAGTAAGTTTATTGATCTGCTGTATCCCCACTAATGAGTGTGTTTCTTTCTTGGCTGGGTACTCCTATGTGCTGTTAAAAGATCGGGAGAAGGAGGAGCCTTGTAGAATTATCCCAAAATCTTTCAAGGTCACCAGTCAGTGGTTTTCCTCCGCTCAGTGGAACCTAACAGTAGTGGGACTCACATGCCATGTTCCTCCACTTCATCTCCTTCTCTTTTCTTGTCCAGTGATAATCCTTTGCATAGTAGAGGTTATCATCATCTTACTGCTCATCTTCTTGCGCAAAAGGATCCTCATTGCCATTGCACTGATCAAAGAAGCCAGCAGGTGAGGCTGTCATGGACTGTTGCCAAATAAATCTTGCAAAGGTGATCCCTGTCCTCAGAAATGTTTGCAATTTGACAGAGACAGTTTGCTGTTCTATTTGATTGTATTACTGCTAGAAAATCTAGCAAGACTGCAAGCAGCAGCGAGACAGAGGAAAGTCTCAGAATTCAGCTCAATAACTTTGTTTCTTCTACCTGCCTTGAAATAGCTAAAGTGTCTATTGCAAACATAGCACACTGTATGGAAGAGTTCATAGAATACTCATTTCTAGGAGAAGTGGGAGGTGAGAGTGGCTGGAGCATGTAGAAAAGTAGCTCTGGAATAAAATCTGATTAATTATTCTGGTTGTGGATGTGACAAGAAGCATGTCCAACAAGGAAGCCAAAGAGCAAATATTGTAGATGGCTTTGTTGTGGCTGGACAGACGGAGGACTTGAAACTAACCTATGTGCTCTTTTTCTCTCCTTCCACCTCCCCATCCCCCTGGCAGGGCCATTGGTCACATCATGACATCTCTGCTTTTCCCCCTCTGCACGTTTTTCCTCGTGTGTCTCTGCATTGCTTACTGGGCCAGCACAGCTGTGTATCCTTCCTTAGTTCCCCCACCCTACTTGCAGAAACAGATCATGGGGGCTGATTGTTGCCTGGTTCTCAGAGGCTTGTCTTAGGCCTTCAGGAATGGGCTCTGTAATGCTATGTATTATAGCTCCTTGACTCCTTCCAGTTTCTTGTCTACCTCTAATGAAGCTGTCTACAAGGTGTTTAATGAGACAGAATGCCGATATGCTGGAATGGTCTGTAACCCAGAGGTGAGAAACAGCCTGAAGTAGTATTTTAGTTAGTAATAGTCTATTGAATAATAGGCACAATAACATTAAACAAAGATTACAGTTACTAGACTCTTCTCCCTCCATGGGGCTGCTCTTGAAGCCTGTTTAGAAGGCACAGTTGCAACTGAGCTGTGTGACCCTGGTACTCCAGGAGCCATACCTATCAGACGCTCCTGCTCTAGACTGCCAGGCATCACATGTGGTCCTGAGTCTGGTCATTTTCCCTGCAGATATGTACCAATTTTGGAAAATGGGATTTTTAGGGATGCCCTTCCACTGCCTTCCTGTGCAAAAGCAACAGGCATGCACTGTTGTCCCTTGGGAAAGGGGAAATGTGAGCTTATGTTTTAGCTATATTTTAAGATACCACAACAGTTGAAGATACCGTGTGGGGTGTAAAAGTGAGCTTATTGAAAGCCATGCATTTAAATACATGTGTGGATGTGAAACTCACTGGATGAATATTCTTCTTTTAACCAAAATTGCCTCACTGGGTTATTGCATGGACAAAATGAGAACCCCATGTGAACCACCCTGAGCTATTTTGTGGAATGTGAATGGAACTATTACATGAGCTCAAAATGAAAGAATTTAGAAGAAACATTTCCATATATCCCAGTGTCTTCAACATGATAATGAAAATGCCGAGAGAGATTGTTGAGGGATTTGGAATTGAGTGTGATCAATATGCAGATAATGCCCAAGTTTATCTCTGATTTCCATTGCATTCCATGGAGACTGCTGAAGTTCTTAGCTGGTGTATAGACTGGGCAGGGGATACCAGATTGAAAATTAATTCTAACACATCAGAAGTGCCTCCTAATCAGCAAAGCTGATCTGAGGGTTGAGATTCAACATGGACTGCATGAGTTAGCATTCCCCAGGAAATCACAGTTCATAGTTTGGGAGTGCTACCTGGCCTTGACCCTAGATGCCCTGGTGACAGCTGAGCCCCAGCTTTGCCTGGTATGCCATCTGTGTCCATTTCTAGAAAAGAGATATACAGTGGTACCTCGGCTCACGAACACCTCAGTTCACAACCGAATCAGTTCACGAACAAAAATTCCATAAAAAATTTGACTCAGGTCGTGAACTCTGCATTGGGTGGCGACTGTGATTGCGGCCATCTCCCCACCGCCCCCAGAGTCTTTCCTGCCTCTCCCTATGAATAAACGAGACAGTGTGATGTTCTTGATTTCCTACAGATCTTTTTCTACATAGTGTAAGTCAAAGCTGTAATTGTCTGTTGATTTGCTGCTGCTTTGAGTAGAAAAAAATGGCTCCCTATTGGTTTGGTTTTACCTCAGGAGATAGAAAAGGGAAGCTACCCACGAAAAGCTTCAAAATTGTCTGAAGTGGTGCTGTCCCAAAGTCTGAAATGCTGATTTCACAAACAGTCCCTGGGTTGCAAATGTCCAGGTTATGAACCACCCCATATTTATGAATGACCAAATCTGGAGGTCACACCATATCCTCACCAGGTGGTGAGCACCAGGCAGCAAGGAGAGGAAGGAAGGGAAGAACAGGAAGGGAAGGAAGAAGGGAGAGAAAGGGAAGGAGGGGGGGAAAGCAGTGCTGAGAAGCAGCAAAGTCAGAACTAGAAAGCAACTCCAGTGGTAACACACAAAACCCGCCCCCCTCCAGCAACACAATCAAACTTGAACTCTCCAGCACCAGTTCCATCCTCTCCAACACCAGTCCCATTTCCACCATCATCCAGTTAATGTTAGGCTTAATGTTAAGCCTGACATTAACACTTCTTAACATTCAAGAAGTGTTAACCATTAATAATCTTTTTGCTATTTTTTTCTATCTAAACTGTCTTACGAACTGTACTGTATACCTATACACATGAAGATTCTCTATTTTCAGCATCTATAGGTGCTTTATTATTACTGCATTATCATTATTAAAATGCTGTATTGTGTTTTAGTATATATGAAAGTGTTTCTTAAGTGTTTTATATTCTTTTTATATACATGATTCGACTTACATATGAATTCAACTTAAGGATGTTCTCGGAAATGAAACTTGTCTGTAACCCAGGGGCTAGCTTATTACAAAATTATCCCTGCTTGGGGAAACCCATGTTTTCATCAAAATTTTGACATGCATTTTTTTGATAAGAAAAAGGGGAATCTTAAGGCAAAACGGTGACATGACAATATTGGTGGCCACCTTTCTTTTCTGCATTTAATGCAGGAGTAGGTCCACTTTCTGCTATTGTCCTGCCTTGGAACAGGTGTGGAAGGGAACACTCCTATGCAAGTTTAGACTGAAAAAGGTCTACAATCCTAGCATGCTGTGAGTTGTAAGCCTTATTTCTATCCAAAATTGCATAGGATTGCACCATATGTGCCCATATCCATTTCTAAGATAGAATGTGGGACAAATTGATCCTTGTTCTCAAGCAAGGAGCCTGAGTGGAGCCGACTGTGCCTGTTTGTTTCTAGAGTCATGACAGTTGTCATTTTCTTCCTCCCTTTAGACCTTCAATATTAGCAACATAACCAAGCAGTGCCCGGGCTCTCGTTGCCTCTTTGCCTTCTATGGTGGTGAGACTGCCTACCACAAATACCTCATCATCTTCCAGATCTACAATGTCTTCATGTTCTTCTGGCTGGCCAACTTTGTTATTGCCTTGGGCCAAGTCACATTGGCTGGGGCCTTTGCCTCCTACTACTGGGCCTTTAAGAAACCTGATGATATGCCAGCATTCCCCCTCTTCTCTTCTTTTGGCCGAGCACTCAGGTAAAGAGGCCAGGGAGGGCAGAGTGAAATGTCAGCCCTTGTCAGCCGGCAGTCTCCACATGCTTCATGAATAGGGAAGGGGGGGTGGGGGATCAGTATATACAGTGAGGAGCATAGCTCATTAGATTATCTGTGTGCTGACTAGACAGTCTGTCTTAGCTGAGTTGGGCACGGCATAGACCTCAGCCCCTGTAACAGAAGGAAGAGCTCTGGTCTCATTGGAGCTAACACAGTGTGACCTGAATAATGGTTACTTTCAATGATTGGTTAAAGTAAGTGGGGCTGTTCCAAGGCAGTTCGAGGAGGCCATAAATATCAAGGAAACACCATGTTCAAGAAATGCCTGACATGTCTCTAGAAGGGTTTGGGGTGGGGTGGGCAGGGAGGTCATGCACAGGGCAGAGGAACTTCTGAATAATTAAATCCAGTGGGGATAGTTGAGTAATAGCAGCAGGCCAGCGGACTCTGCAGGTTTGCTGTGTAGCCTATTATGGTCTCTAGCATTGAGAATGGAACTCTGGGAACTTAGGCTGATATGGCTAGGAAAGCAGGCTGCTTCAGCAAACTGGACAAAGGGCTTGGGTATTTTTCCATGGACGAAAAGTTCACAGACGCCTGGAAGTCTCACTCAGACAATTTCTCTGCTCTGACTTTCTCTCTGGCAGGTATCACACTGGATCCTTGGCCTTTGGATCATTGATTCTTGCTATTGTCCAGATTATTCGAGTAATTCTGGAGTACCTTGACCACAGGCTAAAAGGTACAGAATGGGAAATAACTGAGGGCAGGGTATGAGGGTTCTCTTGTTTCAGTGGGGTTAGCTGGCATGAAGTAATTTTACCCAGTTTAAGTTGGAACCTTCCATCTACAAAAGTCTTCCACAGACTTTCTTTTCCTTAATAGCTAATGAGAAATGCGATCTCCTTCTGATCCTTTAGCCTGTATTCCTCTTGTATTCTTATAGGAATATTTTTGTGTCCTGAGTAGTTGCTAAAGGTTATGGCTTGCCTGAGAGCCTGTGGATTAGTCTATAAGGTTATAATTCTCATCCAGTATAAAAACAAAATGTTGCCAGCTTCTGCAGAAGTGTCTTTTAAGTTTTCCCAAATCTTTGCTCTAGTGTCAGGAAGATTTTGCCACAGAGCTAAATTGTGAGAGAAAACATAGCTACACATCAGGTAGGAAGGAACTGTAAGTAGGCTCAGAAAATTTCTGCACCTGAAAACTAGAGCCTTTTTTGAATCCTGTACATGTACAGATCACCAGGTCAGAAAGGATTTCTTCATTGCCATGAATGCTGAGTAATATCCTAAGTTAATTTTCAACCAAAGTGGTAGCTTGCATTTTCCACTTTTTTTTTTAATGAGAATTAAAAAGTTTTTCTTTTCCTTGGCATAAAAGTTGAGATTCACAGGAGTTCAAATTCTGATTCTAAAATTAATTCAATATTTCTGCATGTAAACAGCTGCATAAATGGGGCTCATTCCAGTTTGACAAACAGAGAGCGGGAGTAGGGGAAACTCCTAATTTCTTATTCTGCTTTCCTGGTAACAGCTGCTGAGAACAAATTTGCCAAGTTCCTCTTGACATGTCTCAAATGCTGCTTCTGGTGCCTCGAGAAGTTCATCAAATTCTTGAACAGGAATGCATACATTATGGTGAGGAATTCAAACTTTTGCAAACCACCTGGTGAATTAATGCATATTTATAGATGCTCACAACAATATGGGGACCTTTCCTAGACCAAAAAAGTTTTGGCAGGAGAAGCTGGGTGATAGTTTTCTTTTCTGGATTCTTCAGTCATACCTGAGGTCCTGAAGAAGCGTTGGTTATCTAAGCATTCCTTGTAAACATTTGCGGCAATACATTTACTTGCAGTGTTGCTGTAACATCATGCAATGGTTATACTTCTAGTCTTGTTATTTATTCTCAGGTTCTTCTTCATGGTCATCTGTGCATTCACGCATATGGGCTTTGCTGTGCAGCACAAGGCCTGATTGGAGAAAAAACCTCCTTCAGCTCAGCGTAATGGAGTGGGCAGGAGCCCCTCCCCACCCCTTCTGGGGCTCCAGATAAAAGGGGTGAGGCTCCTGCCCAGTCCCCCATTTCCTTTTTGACCACATGAGCAGTTGCTTCGCTGATCAGAATTTCTAGTGCTACCACCTACCTTGCTTTCACTCTCCCTAAAAAAGTTACTCCTTTAAAATCTTTTCTACTACATAAAGTTTTTTCTTCCCTCGACTCTCTCTCTCTCTCTCTCTCCCTCTCCTTCCTTCTTCTACAGACACTTTGTGCCTCTCCTCCCCAAGGAAGAAGATAAAGGCTCCCTCCTACTTTCCCTTCCTCCTTGTGTTTTCTTGCTTTTTTTTGACAATGGCTGACCCATTTTTTGCAGCTGTGCCTTGTGCACAGGTGGCTTGCAGGCTGCAGACAGCCGCTTTTGCTCCCTCCTCTGCTTCAGCAAGGGGCACATTGTTGAGATCAGCCCACGCTGCCAGGCATTCAAAAAGCAAATGCACCAACAGCAGGCAGATCGTCTTAAGTTTGCTGTCTGGCAGCATGTGCTCCGCATGGCTGATTCTTCTAGAACAGAGCCTGAGCAGCCAAGGAGAGCCAGAAGTGGACCATGACCAGGGAAGAGCCAGCAAGCCTATGGCTTCCCCGCAAAGTGCTGCACTGCCAGGCTCGCCTCGCCTCGTCCTTAGCCGCCTTGCCACATGATGGCTGCCTGTGCGCCTTGGGCCCCAGGCTCTTGCTGGAAACTCCCGCTGCTCTGGAGCCGGGCTCCCCAGGCACACGCTTGCCACGGAGGGGCTCCCCACTCGTGCACGGCTCCTCACTGCCTGTGCCTGCAACTCCCAGCTGCCGCTTGCCTGGATTGCCTTGTGACCCACCGCCGAGCCTCCTTAGGGAATTCAGGGCCACCTCGCACTCCCCTCGCCGACTAGGACAGAACAGAGCTCGGTTCTGGTCCCTGGACTCCACCTGCCCAGGGGAACGGCCTGGGGTACTGGACCCTCTGGCTGGCTCAGCAACGCCCTGATGGAGGTGCCGCATGGAGTGGGAGGACTCGGGCTTCTCCCGCTCTGAGGGCGCCAGGCCCCCGCCACGCCAGACTGCCTGCCGCGCCTCACCACCATTGCCCGTGCCTTGCTGCCGCGCGCAGATTCCGATCCCTGGCGCTCTCCAGCCGATCCCGATGCTCAGCACCCAGTGCGCGCAGGATCATGCTTGATGTTGGGAGCACCCCGTTGCCACACCTCGCAGAGCCGATCAGGATCACAGGCACACACGGACGGACGGCACCAACCGATTCACACTGAGGAGCCTCTCCCCAGCGCCAGCTGTGTGCCACTTGATGCTGGGAGGACAGTGGCTCCAGCTCGAGGCCCACTGACCGCCCCTGCAGCTGTGTCACCACTGCTCACCATTGCCATCACCGACCCAGCATTCAGCTGGACCAGGACCATCCCTCTAGGCATCGCCGGGATCCGGGCACCAGCAGCCACTGCTCCCACAGTCCCCACGAGCACACCACCCACTGACCTCATGCCAAGGACTCTGGGCCCAGCCGCCAACATGCGTCATCCAGAGAGTCAGGTGGCTCTCCAGCCCTCTTGCTGCAGTCCCCTGATACCCCAGTGCAGGATCTGGACCCATCTTCACCACCTGAAGGGAAGGGACATTTTATGGATTTGGTTCTCCACACGGTGGACGACTTAGGCTTCCAGGCATCCCAGCCATCCAAGCCTGAGGCCAATCCAGTCTTCGACAGCCAGGACTCAGACAACCTGGCCTCCATCTCCATCCCTTTCCTCCCAGGCCTGTGGCGTACAGTGCAGCAATCCTGGAAGACCGCAGCAGTGGCTCTGGCCACATCTGGGAGGATCGAGTCCACGTGCTAGGTAACAGATAAGTTGCTTCCCTTCCTACGTCAGCATCCCAGACCCAAATCCATTATACTGGAGTCGATGCAAGGGACCTCCTAGTGGGACCATTCCAGTGGATAAGGCATTCCTTTCACAGCCACAAGCAGAGACACTGGCCACGTCCATCACGACACTGGCCACGTCCATCAGGACCATGGCTTACTGCACTGCTCACACCACCCACAGGCTCCTAGGCCTCATGGCTGCCAAGGTGTCAGCGCTGCAACTTGCCCACCTCCAGATGAGGCTCCTCCAGCTCTGGTTCATGGAAGCCTTCACTGCAGACAACAATTCACACATCACTCCTTTGTCCTAACCCCCCCCCCACCACCATCAGGTAGTTCCTTCGATGGTGGGGCATCATGGACAACCTCACCACTGGGGTCCCCTTCTCTCCCCCAGAGCCCTCCACCACAATCACAATGGATGCTTCAAACATGGACCGGGGCGTGCACTGTGGCAACATACATGCACAGGGTCTCTGAGACCAGTATCAACCTCATCAAGATGTTAGCAGTACACAAGGCACTTGTCTCCTTCCAGGATTCGTCGAAAGGATGTCACGTTCAGATAGCCATGGACAACACCACAGTCATGTACTACCTGAACAGGTAAGTCGGGATTCGGTCTGTCCGCCTGTAAAAACTGGCAACCATCATCTGGGTCTGGTGCATAGAGAAGGGCATCTTAATCACGTCTACTCATGTTGCCAGTCGCCTCAACACCCTGGCAGGCACTCTGAGCTGTGCCACCATGACTCCGCATGAATGGGAGCTCGAGAGCTCAGTCTTTCGCAGCCTGTGCGAGGCATGGGGTTCCCAGAGGTGGACCTCCTTGCCGCTCCCCAGAACACCAAATGCTGTCAGTTCTGCTCCAGAGCAGGATGGAGGACTGTCCACCTTGCAGCCATCTCGCACTTCCACCCACCAATCAAGGGGTCATCCATTTTCATGAACCCCCTGGTTCCTCCATGGCCTCCAGAACCTCATCCCACCAATGCACTCCTGCACCCCATCATGGAGCCTCTATGTGGTCCTGCAGCCTCTTACAAAGAAGCCCTTCAAGCTCATGGCAACATCAGACCTGCACCTCCTGTCGTGGAAGACAGTGTTCCTGATGGCCATCAAGTCGGCCCCTCACACCAGTGAACTTGCTTCACCGTGGATTGACGTTCCCCTTCCTCACCTTCCAGCTACAAGGCTGTCCGCCACCCAGAACTGCACTGCACACCCAAGGTCACCTTTGCCTTTCACGTCAACCAGGAGATTGTTCTCCCGGCATTCTTCCCCAATCCCTCCACCCTGGTTGAGGTCACACTGCACATCCTCAATGTCTGACGAGCCCTGGCCTCCTTCAAGAAGTGGACTGAACAGGTACAGTGCTCAAACCACTTAGTCATCTGCTACAAGGACCAGAATAAAGGGGAACCCATCTCGGCCCAGAGACTCTCCAAGAAGGTGTCCAGCACCATCTCCCTAGCCTGCAAGATGGTGAGAGTCATCCTTCCTACATGCTGTCACGTATACGCCATGTGTACATAAGCTATGTCTGCAGCCCAGTTAGCCAGCATTCCACTGCACAACATATGCAGAGCTGCCATGTGGTCCATGCCATCGACTTTCATCTGACACCACCGACTCAATGTCCCCACCGGGCAAGACTGCATGTTTGGCAGGGCAGTCCTCTCTCCTATTCATTGGTGACAACAGCCCCTCCATCCTTGAAGGACAAGCTTGCTAATCGCCTATGTGTGTCATGCACAGAGACCAACCACAAAGAAGAAAGGCAGGTTGCTTTCTTGTAACTGTTGTTCTTCAAGTGGTCATCCATGCATTCGCACAACCCACACTCCACCCCGCTGGCTGTCATCAGTTCACCGTGCCATATATTTGGGACTGGGTGTTGGGCAAGGGTGCCAGTGCTGTCACCTGCACCTTTGGATGCCTGGGACAACGTTGGCTCCAAGGCAACTGAGGGACTGGGTGGGAGCCCCATCCCTTTTATCTATAGCCCCAGAAAGGACAGGGAAGGGCTTCTGCCCACTCCGTTATGCTGAGCTGCAGAAGTTTTATTCTTCTTCATGGTCTCTTAGGTCACACGTGTGGGCATTGCCGCACAGCGCAAGGCCTGGAGCGACACAGATGACCACTTGACGAACAAAAGTCACAGATAAGCAACCTGCCTTTTTCAGGTGTGGTAAGCCTTGGGCTAGGTCTACATATTGGCCATGGTGTGGGAAATCTGCTGAAATGCTGGTTCAGCATCCAGTCCCTCTCGTCAAGTCGTATATTGGATCTTTCAACACATGTTGGCATTGATGAGGAGACCTCTGAGAGGCACAGAGGAAGGTTGGCTGTTCCTCAAGAGCAATAGTTCGAGGTCTTACCAAAGTTACTTTGAGGTGGTAGGGAACACTTTTTTTGTAATTTTTAGCAGGGGCAGGGAAAGCCCTATCAGCAGGCTCTAAATAGTTTAGGAGAATGTGTCCTGCGAGCTCTGCCATTCTTGATCTATACGGTTATTGTAACACAATGGCAGGATGCCTGTTGGGCAAACCAAATATGAAATTTGGGTGTCCTGTGAATTGGCTGGCTTTCAGTATCAACCTGCAAGAAGAAACACAAAATCAGAAATCAGAAATAAAATGTGCTGCGGCTGCTGCTATCCATGGCCTTTGGAGTAAAGAATCTGATTTCAATGAGGAGGTATTTGTGCATCTAGCACTATGGGTCAATTAAAGGGAAATACCATATCCGTTAATTAGACTCCGAAAGGGGGGTATGAAAGAGAGTGGGAAATAGAAGGTTGGTGAAGAGAACTGGAGGTGGATGTCATTATTGAGATGGGGAAGCCAACAGGGAGCAAGGAAGCTTAGGAAGGACTAATTGTGCTTCTGCAACACTGTATCAGTATGTTTGATGCATGCATGAATATGACCATGTGGCAGAGGAAACATTTGTCATTAGTTGGAAACAGTCCCTAGTAATGTAGTTGTTAAATCTCAGTGAACTGGTGGATATACATTCTTATATTCTGAACAGGTGCCCTCTTCAAAGTATGTAGTTTCATTTTAGGTGTCCACAGAAATGAACCAACTGGGCTTTGTTGTTGTTAGTCGCGAAGTCGTGTCCGACCCATCACGATCCCATGGACAACCTTCCTCCAGGCCTTCCTGTCCTCCACCATCCCCCGGAGTCCACTCAAGCTCACACCGACTGCTTCAGTGACTCCATCTAGCCACCTCATCCTCTGCCGTCCCCTTCTTCTTTTGCCATCTATTGTAGCTTTACAACTGGGCTTTACCCTGAGAGTATAGCCTTTTTCTGCACTAGGAAATGGTAGACATATTTTGAAGATCATAAAATGTTGAAGTGTGGTAATGCAGACTATGATAAGTTGGTTCTTATTGCGAGGAAAATATAAGCTCTTGACATTTAGAGTTTCTTCTGAATATGGCTGCAGATGGTGAAGAAAAGCCATCTGAATGTGATAAAATGGAGAGGGGAAGGAAGTTCTGAAGGGGATGGTTTGGTGAGAATGGCTGGGTAAATGAAGTCTCCAGATCCCACTTGTGCTGTGCTCAGGTGAGGGTTTGATGTGGTAACAGTGGAAGGCAAAGGAATAGTCTCCTTCTCCCTTCCTCCACATTCTGGAAGCCCAAGTCAGAGTTTCTTAACACTGTACTGGCACTAAGTAAATGTTAGGTGGTCATGATCAGTGTCTGCTCGCAAATCATCTCTGTGGTTTTAAGCAATCATGTCTTATTGATGTTCCTTGAATGATCCTTGACAACTAATGCCTTTTCTCATCTGACGAGATGTCTGTGTTCTTTTGGTGATTTTCCCCAGATTGCTATTTATGGCACTAACTTCTGCACTTCTGCAAGGAATGCCTTTTTCCTGCTCATGAGGAATATCGTCAGGTGAGAGCCTGTGCTGGCAATGAGTTGCTATTTTGTTACTGCTGCTCTGCCTTTTGGTTTTAGCATGGGGTTACTCAGCTCCTTTAAACTGATGGAAGTGAATCTTCCCTTGCAATGATGCTTGCGTGTGGATACCTCTTGATTAGTGGATTCATTTAACTTCAAGTGGCTTGACCAGGAACAGTCCTTCCTCCCTTGCTCCCTAAACATGCAGTGAAAAATCTTCTTAGCACTAAAGGCGTATGCAGACATCAGGTTTGAAATGGTAGGATGTCCACGTTCCAGACACCTCTGTTTGTCTTTTAGCATTGAGAAGGGTGGCAAGCACTGCAACCTGAATGTGTGTGCAGGGATTAAGGACTATATGCTACTGCCAGACTGACAGTTGTGCCATCACTGGCTTAAAGGGAAGAAGTAGTGGCTTAATTGTGGCCTGTGCTCTTTGTAGTCTGAGCTCAAAATGGAAATGGTGTTAACCTTCAATGCCCTACATCACTTAGCCTTTCTGTGGACCTTTCTGCAGAGGAGGCACTTTTGAGGCCACCATTAACTCAAGAGGCCCATTTATTGGGAATGCACCAAAAGGCTAATAATGACATAGTATAGGGACAAAGTTGGCATCTGTTTCTAGCCACAGTGTTTGTTTTGGTTCCTCTGCCTGCATCTCTGCTGCATTGTTTGTTGCTGTTGGCAAGTAGCTGTTCTTCATGGGCTTGGTGACTTACACGTGTGAGTTTATAGCTTTCCAAACAGTCTAGATCTAAGCAGGGTTTTTGGTGGGAACCTTGCCAGCCATGGTACCAGCCAGTAGCTCATTTCCTTCCTTTCTGCTGCAATAAATGTAGCACTTCGGAATGTCCTCTGCTTCATGAAAATTTTATGCATGTATGTATGCATGCATGTATATACAGAAGATCTTCCTTCTTGCCCTCTGGGATACGAAGTAGGATTTTCTTCCTTTTCTTCTTATATCCTATTTCCTCTGAGTTTTTCTTTCTGTTGTCCCTCATCTCCAGAGCCAGGAAGGCAGGCTTTGTAGAACTTCCTGGAAGAGGTGGGGCTTTCCTGGAAGTCTCCAGTTGTTTCTTGTGGTGGGAGGCAGACTTCTTGGCTCACATGTCCTTTAGGCCTAATCCTGTTAGCCTAATTTAATCCCGTTTTTCAACTGGGTAACCTCCCCCAAATGGACAGAGGGAACACTGTGGGTGAAATCTGCCTCAACTTTAGCAAAGTTTTCGGTATGGTGCCCCGCAACATTCTGACAAGCAAATTAGCAAAAAGTGCACTAGGTGGAAAAAGTATTAGGTAGATCCAAAATTGGCTGCAAAATCAGACTCAAAGAGTACTCATCAGTGGAAGGAGGTAACTAGTGTGCCGCAGGACTCAGTCCTAGGTCCTGCACTCTTCAATAGCTTTCTTAATGATTTAGATGAGGAAGCACAAGGAATGATCATCAGATTTGCAAGTGATACATAACTGGGTGGAATAGCAAACACCCTAGAAGACAGAATGAAGATCCAGGGCAATCTTGATAAACTTGAACACTGGGCTGAAAGCAACAGAATGAGATTCAATAAGGACAAGTGTCAAGTCCTCCACCTAGGAAAAAGAAAACAAAGTTATCGATACAAGATGGGGAATACGTGGCTTAACAGAACTGAAAAAGAAAGACCTTGGCGTTATAGTGGACAACAGGCTAAACATGAGCCATCAATGCGATGCAGCTGCCAAAAGGGCAAATGCTATTTTGGGATGCATTAACAGAAGTATTACTTCCAATTCACGAGAAATAGTAGTCCCCCTATACTCCTCGCTAGTCAGACCTCACCTGGAATACTGTGTCCATTTATGGGCACCATGTTTTAAGGAAAGATTCAGGAAAATTAGAAATGGTCGAGAGGAGGGCTAACCTGGGATGCAACTAAGGGGTTCAGACAAGGGATGGTGTCCTTAGCACATCGCTTGCTGGTGTGTGCTGTCAGTGCCACCAACAGCTGTTCTGATTCTAAAATAGGCCTCTTGGGTTCTGAGCCCTGCCCACCTCACCTCACAAGAGTCACTCCCCCTCCCTTGGTGGTCTCGCCACTCTCCTGCATGCGGCTTCCTCTTACAGCTGAGCCAAATGGATCACTTACAACCCCTTCCCCAAGTGAAAGAACCCTCTATAACATGGGTGCTCAAACTACGGCCTGGGGGCCGGATCCAGCCCGCCATGCCCATTTCTCTGGCCCGCCATGCCCATTTGGACTCACTGTGCCCAGGCACGCGCCCGCCGCCGCCCACCTCGCCCCATGCGTGGACAGGCAGCGGTTTGCTCGCTTGGAGAAAACGATCTCCAAGTGAGCAAGCCGCTGCCTCGTGAGCCTGCCTTGCATTTCCTCGCCGCGCCTGCACCTCGCCTCACCTCGCCACGCGTGTGCGCCCGGCCCCCACTGGCACCACCTTTCTGGCCCGCGCCCGGCACCAGCTGCTTTCAACTGGCCCCCTGGTGGAAAAGTTTGAGAAGCCCTGCTCTATAAGAATGGTCCCTCCCCCACTGCAGTCATCAGAGGAATACCCGTTCCAAACTCTGTGCTGCAACTCCTTGAGCTCAGCAATCCACCTTCATTAAGCACTATAGCTTAGAGGTCAGAACCAGGAATAGTGCTGCATTTGGTAGAGCTACTCCTTCATCTTTACATGACAACTTTCACTTATAAATCCTAAGCTATGTAGTCACCAATATGTGAGAGTAACAGAGAGCACGGAGAAGAAGGGCAGTTGCTTACTTGTAACTGTGGTTCTTCAAGTTGTCTTCTGTGCACCAACTCACCCTTTGTGCTTGATGGCTTGCATTCTCCCCTATGCTATAGCAGACATAGAACTAAGATAATGGCAGGAACATTGCTTAGTATGTGTGGAGGAGTAGGTGGGGCTCTGTCTAGCTCTAGAATATTATGAATGCTTTTCTATGCAGACACATAAGCCCATATGTGAGATCCGATAGATGACCACTTGAACAAATCTGATTACAGATAAGTGGCCTGCATTTTTTTGGTGGTGGGACTGTCTGTTAACAAGTACATGTCTATTAAACTATAAAATGCACCACCTCTCTGGTTTTTAGAAAAGAGGTCAAGACACATGTCCTGCCAGACAAACCTTGTGGATGGAATTCTATGACAAGGTTTCAAGGCGGCTAGATGGAGGGGATGCAGTGGGTGTGGTTTACCAGGATTTCTGCAAGCCCTTTGACAACGTGCTGCATGATTTCCTGGTGGAGTTTTGGGGAAGACCAATGCACTGTCTGATAGGGCATGGTTGACTGACTGAAAGCAGAGGGTATCCATTAGTGGGGAATCATCAGGATGGTGGCCAGTGACAAGCAGTGTCCCCCAGGGCTCTGTCCTGGGGCCGATCCTGTTTAATCTTTTCATTGACGACATGGAAGAGGGGGTGAGCAGTCTGCTGATCAAATTCACAGATGATAGTAAAACTGGGGCAGTAGCCACAACTGAGGAGCAGGTACTCCAGATCAAAAATGTTCTGGACAGACTATGGAAGTGGGCAGAGGATAACAGAACGGCATTCACTGCAGATAAGTGCAAGGCCTTGCACTTGGGACATAGGAATGGGTGTCATAAGTACAGGTTAGGGCAACAAGTGGCTGGAGAGCAGCACTTGTGAAAGGGACCTTGGGGTGCTGGTTGACTGCAGGCTAAACATGAGTCAGCAGTGTGATGCAGTGGTCAGGAGGGCAAACGCCACCCTTGGTTGCATAGCCAGAAGTGTGGCTTCTAGATCGAGAGAGGTATCACTACCACTCTATATGACTCTGGTACACCCACAACTGGAGTATTGTGCTCAGTTTTGGGCCCCTCATTACAGGAAGGATATAGCCAGGTTAGAATCGGTGCAGCATCAGGCCACAAGGATGGCTGCCAGATTGCAGGGAAAGCCGTATGAGGCAACACTGATGGAACTGGGTCTCTTCAGCCTGGAGAAGAGGAGACTCCGAGGGGATCTATTAGTAACATATAGGTACATGAGGGGGTGTCACACGGAGGTGGGTAGAGACCTGCTTTCCCCTGCAGAGGAGAGCAGAGCATGTTCTACTGGAGCCAATGTCAGGGAAGCAAGGATCAATTTGCATGCCAGGAAGTACTTCCTGACAGTTAGGAGCCCTAGGGTATGGAATGGGCTTCCACGGGAGGTGGTTGAGGCCCCATCGGTGAGGGTGTTCAAGGATAGGCTAGACATGCACGTGGAAGGTATGTCATGAATGGAGCTGCCTGGAGCCAAGGGTCAGACTAGATGACCCAGGAGTCCCTTTCTGACTCTGTTTCTATATTGTAATGCTCTTGCCCCTCTTTCTAGTAGGTTTTTACTTGGGAGCTTTATTAGAGTTGTAAAGGATTTTCCAAACCAGAACCCCTTCCTTTTAGGAGTAGGTAAAATTATTTTATGAGGACATGATCTTCAAACCACTTTCTACAGGTGGAGATGCTGTTACCAACCAACTCACTCTGTTTCTTTTTCTATATTTTCACTTCAGCTTTTTGAATATAAAGTTTAGTGTTGCATTTTTACCATCTAAATGCTCTTGTTCTTCATTGTTTTATTCTTTTAAGTTATTGTTGTACTCCACCTTGATGGGTTTTTTAGCAAATAAGTGAGTATGTAAATTCTAATAAATGAGTAAAATAAGTGTTGACACTTATTATGCTGAGTCTTGTGATCTTACATTTCTTTGAAGACATACTAGAACCCCTTGTAGGCACTTGCTAGAACATCTATTTCCACACATGTGGGACGAGTTAGAAAATTACAATTTTCCTCTGTGTTTTCAGGGTAGCTGTTCTGGATAAAGTCACTGATTTCCTGCTTTTCCTTGGAAAACTCTTGATTGTAGGAAGTGTTGGTAAGACTTCCAATACTTTGCACCTTCTCTCAAATCTTCCTTATTTACAACTCCCCCTTACTGACCTCCCCATATGTTTTTTTTATTTTTTTAACAAACTTTACCAATAGTCCTATATAGGACTCTCTGATCTCTTAATTGGCTGCTTATTTTGAGCATTTATTCAGTGGAGCCATTAGATTCAAGTGTATTGAATGCCACAGCATATTTACTGATGAATGTGTTTGCGGCAGCTGTCTCAGCATGGCTCAGCTGCCCATACTGGTTGGGGAGGGTGGGAGTGGTTAGAGATGGTTCACCCCGCCTGGAGAGTGACAGATTCCTTTTCCAAGGTAGAATCTGTCCCCTTGGCTACATCTGGTACTGGTCCCTGTCCCTGCCTCTCTCCTTTGCAGGAACGAACTGCTTTCTGTTAGTAAGTTCCACTAGGCCAGCCTTCTCCTAACCTCCAGATGTATAGCCATGCTGGCTGGAGATGACAGGAGTTGTAATCCAGGCTGTGGAAGGCCGCTGTACACTCTCTTTTCTGCATTTACTCGCTTTTCTCATGGCTCTTTCCCAAAACATGTGGGTACAAAACACAAGATCCAAGCCACAGTTTGGAAAGGTGGAAGGGAATGGCTGTTAGAGGTACCCAGATACTAGGATATAGATAGAATAGCTCCTAAAGAAATATGTGTAGTTGAAATGTTTGAAATGAAATGGCTTGTCTTTCCTTTCTCTTTAGGTATACTTGCCTTCTTCTTTTTCACCCAGAGAATAAAACTGATTCAAGATACTGCACCACCTCTCAACTATTACTGGGTTCCCATTCTGGTCAGTATCTAATAATAGCAAAGGGAAGTCTTCATCTCTTCTCCACTATAGCTATAGTATTTTATCCATCTTCCCATCAGAGGGATTTCTTCCTTAATAGGGAAGAAGAAAGGGGAGAGATATAATCCGCAGTGAAAATTATATTGGAGTTTATTTTTTCATTTATTTATCCAAGGAAAACAAGGTGCACATGACTCTTTCTAATATCCGTTTTATCCTCAGATGAATTTTGGGAGGTTGGTTCGAGAGAGAGAAAAAGAGCGAGTGGGTGTGACCGGCCCAAAGTCAGCTGCTGACTTGTACAAACATAGTATTCAGGGCTATTTACTAAGAGAGCAGGCAACTTCATTGCCATTCCAAGTTTACTGTTTCTGGCTAGTTGTAATATAGTTCTGAAATGCCTATGTGCTTTTTCTTGTAGACTGTGATTGTGGGCTCCTATCTCATTGCACATGGATTCTTCAGTGTGTATGCCATGTGTGTGGACACGCTTTTCCTCTGTTTCTGTAAGTATCCTGCTGTGGTGACACCCTACTGAAGCCAGCATATTTGTCCTAAGTACTAGGTTATAAAGCAGTGGTGGGCAAGCTCTGACTTTCCAAATGTTTTGGCCTGCAACTGCCGTGATCCCTCAATATTAGCTATGCTAGCTAGAGCAGATGAGAGTTGTAAGCCAAAACAAATCAGCAGCAGATTGTCCGTTACTGCTGAAACGGTGAACCTGCCCTCGCTACTGTGCATTATTCTTAGTCAGCAACTGCAGGAAATGCTTCTCTGCCAGTCTGTAATTAAACCAAAAGCTACCAAGAATATAGTGCAAATTTTGTGGTCATTAGAGGATCAAAAGCTTCTGGACTCCTTCTCAGTAGGAACCTCAGAATGCATGGTGCAGACCGGGAAAAGTTTGTCCTGGATCTTTTGTGAAAGGATAGGCCCTAGTGCTGTTCCATTGTTGGCAATGCCCACCTTCATCTGTTGTAACACAAGCTGTTGGAACCTATATTATCTTAAGCTAAGAGATGCATTGCTTTTATGTCTCTGTTGTTATCATTAATCACTCACTTCCATGGTGTTGGATTAATTACAGTAAACTGGCTTTTAGAGACGAGTTTTAAGTTGGCCAGATGCAATAGAGGACAAGGCTCCTATATCTTAAACAGTTGTCCAAAAGAGGAAATTTCAGCAGGTGCAGCTTGGAGGCAGCAGGCTACAAATCAGTTTCCAATTCTTTTTTCCTTCATGTCTGCCTTTATTCTGCTTTGTACTCTCCAGCACTCACTATTTAATAGAGCTGCAGTGTTTTGACTCATCAAATGATTAAATGGGGAATCATAGAATAGTAGAGTTGGAAGGGGCCATGAAGGCCATTGGGTCCAACCCCTTTCTCTTGCAGGACACCAAGTTACACCATCCCACTCAGATGGCTGTCCAGGCAAATTTTAATCCGTGAGGCTGAGAGTTAGGGACTCTTCATTTCTAAGGTTATACTGTTGACGATATGGCTGGGGATAATTGGATTTGTAGTTCAACACATCTGGAGGATATAAGGTTGGGAAAGGCTATTTCTCAAATGGAATGGTAAAATCTAGTTAGATGGCTGTTGGGTTGAGAGATCTTCCAAGAAAACAAAGGATTGCCAGTTTGGTCATAAGTGACTGACTGCGGTTCCCTTTAGCTGACATACTAGCTAGGAACAGCCCTACCTTTTCAGTGAGGTAGCATTGGAAAGGGAAAACTGGGCAGATTTACATATAATGCCAGTCCTCTACTGGTTACACTGGCTGCCAATTGAAGTCCAGGCCCAATTTAAGGTGCTGGTGATGACCTATAAAGCCCTAAATGGCTTGGGTCCGGGATACCTGAAGAAGCGCCTTGTTCTGCCCCTTGAGATCTGAGGTGGAGGTCCTGCCGCAAGAGCCCTCCTTGAAGGAGCTTAGGAGGGAGAGTACCTGGAGGAGGGCAGTGGCACCCCGACTATGGAATACACTCCCCAGAGAGGTTCGCTTGGCACCGACACTATATTTTCGGCGTCAGGCAAACCCCTTTTATTTTCCCACTATTTTAATGTTTAATTGATTTTAACTGGTGTTTTAGTATATCAATTGTTGGATGCTGTAGTGTTTGTTTTATTCTACTCATTTTTTATATGCCATCCCGAGATGCCTGTAGTGGATGAGTTAAAAAAAAAAGAAGCTTTTAATAAATAAACGGGGAGTACCCTTGCCTATCCCAGACCTTTGCTAATGTATGCCTGTCCCACTGTGTGCTTGGCTTTCCCCTCTCCCAAGAGTCCAGTTCAAAACAACGAACAGTGGAAGAGACTTGTTTAGAGACAAGAACTTTCCAAAACAGCTACCGGCAGCAGAAAGGGAGCTGTTGAGGGATGAGAAATTCTTGGAACACGTGATGTGCATGTGGTAATTGACATGCATCTGTTTTAATCCTACTCTATATTGAGATCCTAGTGTTTTGAAATTGTATTAGGTTTCAGGATGGGGGGCTGAGATCAAAATATTTGAGTAACACTGTACTAGATGCGAATAATTCTTAAGCAAGGTGGTACTCAAACTTCTCCCATCTAAGTCCTTCCATGAGACAACATGGTGGAGGCACCAGACCCCATCAAGACCTCAGTCATCTTACCTCACTCTTCTCACCTGGAGGAGACCCTATAAACAGAGCAAAAAGGTAAGGCTGCTTACCTGTAACTGACATTCTTCAAGTGGTCATCTGTGCATTCACACATATGGGCTCTGTGCCTGCAATTGGGAAGATTTTTTCTAGCTTAGCTTGTTTTGATGGGAGCCTCACCCCTTCCTCCCCCAGTGTATAAGGGTGGGGTTCCTGCCATTTTCCTAGTTCAAATGGAGACTGACGTTTTGACCTCAGAACTGGGATGGCAAAGCTGTGAAGGCAGGGATCCATAAGTGACTGAACGATGGTCATGGGGAAAAATTTATTTTGCTGATGACACTGATGTGGGATTGGTGGGTGAGCTGTATGAAAGCATGGATGACCACTCAAAGAATATCAGTTACAGGCAAGCAACCTTACATTCTTCTTTGTGGTCTCTGTGCATTACACATATGGATGACTAGTAAGCTCACCTTGAAATGGAGAAGGGCGGTGTCTTCAGCATAGGACTGCCGAGAGAACTGCTCAGCTGAAGGAACAGGCTTGTCTGGCATGGGCATCCAGATGTAGAGTTGGAGAAAGGTCAACAGGATGAACCATGTCACCACTTTATGTAGATTTTCTACTGGTATGCCAGCACTATAGATGTTGCCATTGCCCTGGTAGAACGTGCTCAGGGTCATTTGGGTAGGTGCAGTCCAGCAAGTTGGTACCTCAGTTTAACTGTTCCCATAATCCAGTGTGCAAGTTGCTGAGGGCTGCTTGGTTCAACTCTTGGGCCATTTGCCATAGACCACAAAGTCCTTGTGATCAGCAGACAGATTCAGTTCGAGACTGAAAGAATGCCAGTATTCTTCTCACATCCAAGGTATGAAGTGATGATTCCACTGCCGTGGCTGGAGTTGTGAAGAATACTGACAGTACAATGTCCTGATTAAGATGGAGTCTTGAGGCAATTTTTGATGGGAACGAATAGTCTGGAAGGCAAGGCATGGTGGGTTAGTGCATAGAGTGCATAGTTTGCTTTCTCTTCGGGCTGACATAATAGCTACCCAGAGTTCCACCTTTCAGGAGTAAGCGCAAGTCTAAGGTGGTTAAGGGTTTGAAGGGAGGCTTCATGGACACTTGTAGCACCACTGAGAGGCTCCATGCTAGTACAATGGATTGGATTGGTGGTGCTGTTTTGGAGACCTCAAAGGAACCAACAAGAGAATGGATGGAAAAAAGCTGAGCAGCCTTCCACCGTCCTGTGAAAAGCTGAGATTGCCATCAAGTAGATTTCTTGACTTGGCAATGTACTCCCCACCCCAGGCATGAGGCATCTGTTGTGAGAGTCAGGTCCAAATCCTTCAGCAAGTCAATCCCCTCTGTGAGGTTTTGTCTGATGATCCACCAGAAGAATTTGACATGGGTGGGACACAGGAGTGTTAACCTTTTCCCAGCCAGTTGGTAGGGTCTTACAAATCAGACTTGTAGTGGTCACATGCAAAGCCTTGCAAACTGGATAACTATGACCATTGTAGTCATTGGACATTTTGTACAGTAGCCATAAATACCAGTTGTAGTCTGAAGTTGGCAAGTTTTTCCACTCTTTCTAAAGGGAGTAGACCTGGGCCATAATGGAATCCTGCTTTGCCCTGATGTGGAGGATTGACTGGGAGGGGAGAAACACAGATTTCTCCATGTTCATACATAAGCATAAGCCCAGTCTATTGAAGTGGTCACAAATATTTTCAGTGGAGCACCGAAGCTCTTCTCGGGACAGAGTGACTTACAGTCAGTTGTCCAGGTAGGGAAGAACCTGGATACCCTGCAGCCTAAGGTGGGTGCATACCCTGGCCTTGTATTCAGTGAAAACCCATGGAACTGTGGATAGTCTACATGGGAGGACAGGGAATTCATAGATATTGGTCCTGATCTGGAACTAAAAGTGTCAGTAGTCAGGATGAATGGAGATAGAGAAGTAGGTGTCTCTTAAATCAGTGAAGATGAACCAGTCCCTTGGGTGCAGCAACAGTATGAAGTTCTTCTTCATGGTCTCTGTGCAACCGCACATATGGGCTTTGCCACACAGCCTGAATCAGAGACAAAAACTTGCAAAGCTCAGCAGAACGGAGTGAGTGGAAACCCCTACTTCACCCCTTCTGGAAGTCCAGATAAAAGGGGGGGGGTTCCTATCTAGTCCCTCAGTTCCTTTTTGACCACACACACAGTCATCTCAAGGATCAGAACCTCTCCACTCAGCAACCTCTCATTTTTCTCTCTTACTTTTCCTCCTAATATAATAATAATAATAATAATAATAATAATAATAATAATAAAAGATTCTTGCTTCTATCTCCATCTTTAAACTACCTTGAACCTCTATCTGCCTGCCAAACCTGTTTCCCACCACCTCCCACTCCATGACTATGCAGAACTTTCTGAGGGATATAGTAGTTCACATCCCACAGGTCAAGGATGGAATAGTGGCCATCATCCTTCTTAGGAACAGTGAAATACCACGAGTAGAAACTAGAACAGGAATTAGATGGAGAGGTGGGATGGATTTTCCTTTTTGACAGTATTGTGCTAAATTCCTCAGCCAGGGCACAAGAGGGGTTAGTGGAATACACAGTTCCTAGAGGTGGAAGGGTGAATTCCATGTGGTACTCATTCTCCACAATGGAGAGAACCCACCAGTCTGTTAGGTATTCCCATTCACCAACGCAAGTGCTTAGGCAGTCCTCAAACCAAATCTGCACTGATGGAATGGGGCTGCTTTGTGTTTGCAGCCAATGACTTTGCCTCTCCAATCAGCGTGTCCAACAGGAGGCATCCTGGCGAGGAGGCTGAGTTTGGTATTGTTGCTGGTGTACAGGATGGTGAGGTTGACCCTGGGCTCTCACATGCCCAGAATGGTTGAGAAGGAGCAAAACCCATTCTCCTCATGGTCATTCTAGCCTTCTGGATACTGCCCAGTTCTTTGTCACTCCCAATACTGAAAAGTCCCTCACCATCAAAAGGCATTACTTCAGTATGGGGACCAGATTGGAGTCAAGACTGGAGGTTGAGTTGGAACTGACAGAGGAATCATCAGGGTGGGTATTGATGTTCTCCACAATTCCATCAAGTGATAGGAAGGCCATTCAAAGAACTACAGATTTGTGCACCCTCACTTGCCACAATGGAACAAGTCAATGGAAGGTGCTGGTGCCCATAGTCCAGATCAACCTGGGCAGTTGAAGGGTTGAACCATGAGATGAATCCAGGGAGATCATTGCATATGACAGGCCTGCTACAGGGCTGGATGGTGGGGTGGTCTAGGTGGTGACAGAAGTGTAGGGCTTCCAGGCATATGAGGTGTCTCAGATTTCTCCCTCGGAGAAGGATAGGTCTTCACTCCTAGCCATCAAGTCTGATGGTGTAGCAGTTCCTGTAGCCACCGATGGTCTGGGTGTTCCTGAAATTGCAGACGGGACTGTAGTAGTAATAGCAGCACAGACCAGTCCATGAGAGAGTGAAGGAGAGTGGTGTCAAACCCATTTCTTGAGCTTCTCCTTGGATGATTTAGAAGCCATTTTCTCAGCAGCTGCCATTTTGTATGCCCATTTAGCCTTCTTTTTCAGCTTACCATTGGTTGGTGCCGTCTCAGACAGGTTGCATTGACAATGTGGCTCATGGTGCCCCAGTGGCTGCAGATGTGAGCGCCCATGATGGTTTTGGGCACTCAGGTGGGGTTGTTACAACTGACTCATGTCTCTAAGGGTGTGGCTCCACATTTCAGTTCTGAGCCTCCCTGCTTGATTTTTGCACACCTGTCTAGTCAACACGTGGCATGAGGGCAGGTATCCATCCTGCGATCCTCTCTGAGGCAGAAAAGACCCAATGAGTGCCTGTCCATGGCTGGCATTTTTATGCTGTGGCAGATGAATTTTCTGGAAGCCACTTGGAATGCCATCAGGGGATGAGGAAAAGAAAGTATCGAGTGGATAGCTTGAAAAAGAGGATAGAAGGAGGAGGGGTTTGCTTTTTGTAAAGGGTTGGAATTAAGCTGGTGATAGAGGAAAAACAAGCAAAGATGTAGTTCTGGAAAAAGTAGTAAATTTAAGGTTTTAGGAAAAGCTGAGGTAAAGTGAAAAAGGATATTAGGAATTAATCTGAGGCACCCAAAATGGCAGTCGAAAAAGAACGAGGAAAATGGCAGGAACCCCACCCTTATATATTAGGTAGGGAGGAAGGGGCAGGGCTCCCACCAAAATGAGCTAAGCTAAGAAAATCTTCACGACAAGAGGCTCCACGGAGGCACAGAGCCCATATGTGTGATGCACAGCAACCATGAAGAACAGGACAGCCATAGCAGCATCCAAGGGTAGGAACTGATTCACACAAGACAGAATGAGAAATTGGTGAAAACCTGTCAGAACTCGCTTACACTTGATTATCTGCAAGAGTCCAAATTGATAAACCTTGCAGTCACAGTTGGCAATATTTTAGTGGACAGCACTATTTCAAAGCATTTGAAAAATGACTTAAAATTAAGAGTGGATTGTGGTTGGAATTGTGCCTTTTCAAAAGAATATACTTCAGACTTTTCCTTCCTCAGGGGTGTCTGAATATATGAACTTTTATACCTCAGAAAAGCTTGAATTATCATCCAGTGGGAGTTCAGTGTAGAAAAAAGAGACTATGCGGGATCAGAGCCATCTGTAAGCATAATCAGGAACAATGCAATGTAACAATCTGGGGGAAAGACCAAATCAGAAGCCCCAGCTAAAATGAAAATATAGAGCAGTCATTGTAGAAAGCTTCAGGCATAGACAGAAAATTGGGACCAGACTTGAATAAGGGTGCTGAACAGCAATGACAAGAACTGGACTCAAAAGAAGAAAGACCATTTACATGGTGCTGATGGTCCATTAACTGATGAAATCTGCTATATGATGTGTTGATGGTCACTGCCTTGGCTGTGTTTAAAAAAGGGAAGAGAGATCTGTTAATGGCATTTAGCCATGTTATGGCTATGTAATGTGTCCATGTTCACTAGCTGGCTATTTCTGAGTATCTGGTGCTGGGTAGAGAAATAGGGAGAGGGAGAGCGGGGGATTGAGGGAGAGGCTGGAAGGCTGTTGTCTTTACACCCAGCTTTTGAGCTCTTTGGCAGCATCTGGCTAATCACCATTGGAAACAGAATACTAGTATGTATGTATGGAGCCTTTGTTATATCCAGTGAGGTTATTCTTATTATGATATGCAGAGCAGCAACAGTATGAGAAGAAACTTGTTATGAGGTTCTGTTGTGTGATCAAGGCCTGGTCAAGACAAACTCCCCAGGCTTTGCAGCTGGACTTTCCACCTTTTGCTCTTATTATTTTAATGGCAGTCATACAGAAATGGAACAGATGATGCTTCTCATGGCATAAAGAGAAAAAGTGCAGGCAAGACTCCTTTGACTGTTTGGTTTTGATTATTTTATTCTGTCTGGATTGTATGCCAGCTTGGAGAACTGTTTATACAGGGTGACTAGTATGTTTATTAAAAATATAAGAAATTAACTTTAGTGATTGAGTTTTTATAGAATAGGCTGCTCCTGAAAACACAGGAACAGGAAACATGGTAGTATATTGACTTGCAGTTTGCTTGTCTCACTGTGAGTAGATTTGTAAGCTCTCGAAAGATCACAGGAGCCAAGTCTTCCAGATGGTTTAGGTCTGAGAAACTGTTTTCTCATGAGGCAGAGGAGCTGTCTGTGTATCTTTGTAGTTTCAGCTCTTTAACATAATACAAAAGGTGTATTGAGGTACACATATATAAGTCAGTTTTTAAAGTTTTGTATCCTCCAGGTATTTTGGACTA